TATTTAGAAGAAACTATGTAAGAAAAAGATATACCATATAAAGATTAAAGAAGTTAAGACGTTATAAACTTTAAAAGACACAACGTTATTTATAATGTATGTCGTAACAAATACAAGATATAACCATTAAAAATAATAGTTGACAATAAAACGTTGCAGCCGCAAGCGAAGCGGTACTCTAGCGTTTAAACATTCACTAACGCAAAAAGTTTTAGCTCTTACAGCGAACAAACACATATGAACTTCAGCGAATGTTACTTAATACTCGTTATTTCAGAGGCCAATGACTTTATCTATTACTAGTTGTTGCTCGCGACTTCGTCCACGTGATTTAAAAATTATGTGCTACTCACAGATAAATTATCTTTGTAATGGTGAAAGAATTTTGGAAATCGGCCTAGTAGTTTTCGAGTTATTTCAAAACATACAAAAATACAATTTTTCTCTTTATATTATTAGTATAGAGTACTGATCCACCCCAGCTTTGGACGAAAAGAATGTACGTTTCATATCTTTTCTGTCATACATGCCTTCCCGATAATATGTCGTTTATTAACCCATGTCTTTATTTAATATTGTAGCTTTCGAATAGCACATATTTTTTTGAAATTGTTGCAGTCATGGAGCCTATTCAAAGCAAAAAATCAAATCTTTAATTGTTGTAATATTACAATAGACTAGTTAATCGACCCTGCTGCGTTTGATAAAAAAGGAAATCCCAAATAACCGTCACTTTAAACATTTCAAATACATCTTATTTTAAAAAACGTCTTAAGTTTGAAACTATTAATTGTACTTATCAATATTATAAAAGCGAAATTTTAGATGGATGGATGGATGATTGTTATAGTTTGATTTCCTAAACTGAATTATTAATTCCATGCTGACGGAGTCACGGGTAAAAGCTAGTAGATTAAGTTAACTAACTTACGCAAGCGAGTATTTTCGACTCGTCAGTCCATCGTTAACCTTTTGCGTCCGAAAACTTTATAAAAAACAAATTACAATATAAAATTAATTATAATAGATGGAACTTTTACGATTATTTGTATAATAAAACAATTTTTGATTAAAAACTAAAAATTTAAAACACAAAATTCTGTTCCCACCAACCTGTCGGCAAAAGTATGTAGAGAAGAAAATGTTCATGTCCATAAGAAGTGTAACTAAAAGTTTATGGATCACTCATACCACATTCACATAACAAACACGAAATAAACCGTAGACGTTAACGACGTCCGTGCTACGCCGTAGTCAGTGGTAAACTGAACTACGAGCGCCAACGTTCCAAGTTTGAACTTATCCCTCGGGTTGCTTCGGAAACACTCGGGTGCTCGGTGCATTCTCGTTTTTTTATTTCGCACATGCTTCTAAAGATAAACTGTATACCTGCGATGTTAAAATTATGATTTACAAATACCTTTTTAAAAGCTTATTAAAGGCTATTTTAGAATCATCCAAAATCTTTGAAACTGACATAAAGCCTTACACATACATAACTTTTAATATGATAAACTATAGTTTTTTATGATTAACTATAGTTAATACTAGCTTTCGCCCGCGACTCCGTTGGCGTGGAATTAAATAAAAAACAAGACTTCCAGAGTATCATCTGAGTCTATACCAAATTTCATCGAGATCTATTCAGCTGTTTAGGCTACAAACTCTAACAAACGTCCATCCATCCATCTAAACTTTCGCATTTATAATATTAAGTAAGATAATATTATTGTCGGTGAAAAGCTGAGCTGATAAATTTTAGTAAGTAATAATTGGTAATATAAATGGTTATTTTATTGTGTTCTTCTTTTTTTTAAGTAATTTCTTTAAGAGCACAATGCAAATGGAAGCAAACTGTACTCTTGTATGCTTTATCTCAATAAAGCTTGCTTAGCAGGAGTTTTCACTAATCAAATTCAATTAATTAAATTGTTTAAACTATCGTGAGACATAGCTTTAAGCGAAAATTAAAAACGGCTCAACTTTTTTTTCCCTCGGTACCGTCAACGGAGGATAAAAATGTAAGTTGAGCCGTTTTTAATTTTTGCCTCAAGTTCAATAGTTGGATTTCGTTTATTTATAATAAATAATTACTGCTAAGGTTTTATGTACAGTCAACTGCACAAATATGAATATTTCACAAACACTTAGAAAGTTGTACTCACACGCCTACGGTTTCAAAAATACGTGTTCACTTATTTGTCGATAGCATTTATACTTATTTCAAAGCATACGAATAGAAAAATTCATGAATGTTTTAACTGAAGGCATACACTAATTTATGAAATGTTTATAACTTTTTGCAGCTGACTGTACATTTGTTAAATGTATAAATTTTAAATTAATTAAAAAAATATTTAAAAATAACCTTAAGTGTAGGTTCAGAATTGATTAACATAGTTCACTTTTTAAAATATATTAAGATTTTTTTGTTATAGGTCACTATACTTTTATAGGTATTATGAAAAACATTACCCTATAAATACCTTAAAAACTTTCGCCTTAAAATGATGAAATAAAAACATTTTCACGTCATTAACCATCTTAAAGTAAATGTCATCTTTGGTCGTATTTCCAGTGATATTTTTTGCGTCTTACGCAGACTTATCCTTATGATAAATTACATAGCATTATTCATTAAAAGCTAGTGGAACAATCTTTCATATTCGAGTGATTTCAAAAGGCTTAACTGTTTGTGAAAAAGTTCAAACCTTGAGAACTTTTTGCCAGGTCCTGAAGCGTTTCTGCTCAAATGATTCTTTTATAATTCAAAAACATCTGCATCTATTCATGTATCACTAATTAGAGGTTTTTTTTACTTTGAACTTTAGACACTATGTCAATTTGACAGTTCAGTTAGAACTGAGTCTGTTTACCTTCATGTAATTTTTTTCGGAAACTCACATAAAAGTACTAATATTAATTAAAAAAACATAAGTAGAATTTTGTTAATTATTATCCACTAGCGTTTACCCGTGAATCCATCATCCTGGAATTTAAAACAAAACAAAAGCAAACTCCCTATTTGTGCTTTCAGATTGCTCTACACCTATGCTAAATTTCATCAATATCCGTTAAGCAGTTTAGGTTACAAACTATCTTTCACACTTATAATATTAAAAGATGAATCTCTTCTAAAATCGTTGTCATGTTAAATACCTATTTTCCTCCTAACAGAATTTCGCATCGTACCCGACACGCACATAAAACAGTAACGATGCTCAGATTACGCACTTTACAGGTGTTACTTGCACGGTTATAAACTTGACATACTAAAGTAAATCATTTAAATAACGTATATAAGACACCTGTACAGAATACTAACTGTTGCTCGCGACTTCGTCTATGTAGAATTAAAAAAATAAGGCCAATGTTACTCAACCGAACGTAGCTTTTAATAGTGTTTTTGAGTTATTTCGATACATACAAAAATACAAATATTTCTTTATAATATTAGTATAGATTACAAACACACATATAGGAGAATATTAAATAACAGATTAATTGAAGGGGATGGACAGAGAAGGTAAATATGGCGGAGGAGGGGACGCATTGGAAAAAAAAAACATCTTTCTCTCCGCTCAGTCCTTTGTGTAAGGTAGAACGGTAACAACGGTTTTGCCCATGCAATTTTAAATGAGGAAAATTATATCTTCTCTTATCTTACTAATATAAACTGGTTTAACGGATCTCGATAAAATTTGGCACATATATACACAATCTGAAATAATACATATGCTATTTACTATGTTTTTTTAGTGCACGGACTTCGAGGGGAAAAGTTAGTCTGTGGCGATGTATCTGGCATGCAGAAACCTCGACGGCGCATGTCAAGGAATAGGAAGAAAAATAAATGTCATTATGATGGTGGACTAGATCGAAGATACATCTTTATATGTATATAAAGAATTATTAACATACGAGTCTTTAGTAGTCTATTCTTATATTAAAACCACAACAAAAATAAATGTTGTCGAGGTATTGCAAATGTATTAGAATAAAGTAAAACCTAAAATTATAATTTAATACATGGATTTAGGCTGCGCACTTGAAGAGCCCTTTATGAATAAACTTTCATTTTAATGATGGATAAGCCACCTGACTTTGTTCACAGACGATAACATCACAAGGTCATGTCTTACAGGTCATAGGTCATTACAGGACTGTCTAGACGGAAAACTGTACCGCCCATTTGTTTCTAATAGCTTGTGAGAACACTTTTTTGACTAAACTATCGCACAACTGTTCAGTCGCACTTTGGTTCTTATGAACTTATATGGAAGTACACACACTACTAGATTTTAGCCGTGCAATTAAATAGTAGAATTGGCTGCGAAACAATCGACAATCGCAATTCAGTCGTGCGATAGTTTAGTCAGTGTGCGTCTGCTTTTACAATACTAAAAGATTATTATTTAAAATATATAACTGTGATTATTTGTTGCTTTGAATGTGGATTTGGATTATTGTTGTCATTTGCATAATAATTTCTTGCACAAAATCATACTTCATGCTAATATTATAGCGAAAGTTTAGATGGATGCATGGATGGATGGATGTTTGTTAGAGGTTGTAGCCTAAAAGGCTGAACAGATTTTGATGGAATTTGGTACGGATAGTCTGGAAGAACACATAGTCTACTTTTTATCCCGGAAATAGTTACGGTTCCAGTGGGATGCATTAATTTCGTATTTTGATGTTTACGCGATAATTCTGCAACGGTTCAACATATCTTATTGAAATTTGGTACAGATATAAATACGGAGTACACATGGGATAAGGTTCATCCCCGAAAAATGTCCGGTTCCCAAGAGACACGTTATTTACATAGTTCGTCAGTTTTTTAATACCACGCAGACGAAGTCGTGGGCAACAGCTAGTAAAACATAAATACAACAGAGAAAAAAGAAAATAAGTTAATTTTTTTTAACTGTCGCTGGTGCAAAACATTTAATAGCGCATTTTTATTTTATTTTTTTTACTTGACATCTGAACGACACTTGAAATGTTATGTCACGAATCTGCTTACAAAATTTTAATTTACGAAAGAATTTCTTTACATTAATTTACATTTTAATAGAGATAAATATTTAATTTAAATGAATGAAAATAAGACTATTACAGATAAAGATGTTTTGGACGCAATAAAAAATGTTTTACGCAAAAGCGGAGATTTGAGTAAAATACAAGCAGAGGTAAGTATTCTTAAATATAATAATTATAATAAAATTTTTTTTTACTAAAATTTTACTTGATTTTTAAACTGTTCCTATGTCTATACAAATCGAAACTAGTTTTAATCGACGAATGAATGTAAAAAGTTTCTGGAAAAATGTTTCAGATGAGAGCCAAAGTTACAGAAATACTCCAAGATAGGCAATTCACAAACCATCCTGGTTGTCGTAACTTCTGCCCGCCGCCGCCTTCGTCCGAAGTTTTACTCATTAATGACTTAATAAAGGAGTATTTAGAATGGAACGGCTACCTTTATACATCGACCGTACTCACATCAGAGGCAGCGTTACCTAAAGAGAAGCGAACCAGAGCAGAGCTATGCGCAGAAGTTGGTGTAAAAGATGACGAGAAATCGTCTTCGTTACCTCTTTTAACAAATATTGTGGCAGCGTACACGGAAAGAATAAAACGCAAGATTAGCAAGATAAAAAAGGATTGTTCATGATTTGGAATTATATTAAAAAAAACCTTAGCTTAACAGGTTTCTATTTTTAAAATTGTCATTTGAAAAATGACTAACGCATTTGCGACATTGAATTTGTAGATGCGTTGCCATCCTTTACAGGACGAAAGACTGGACACACGAAACAAAAGTAATTCCACTTTCCATTGTTTCATTATAAAAGGGTGGAAAGGTAAAGGTGCCTAAGATTAGGCCTCCCTCCTCAGAAAACCAAAATCCTTTTTTACTTCTGGCCCGTCTTCTCATCTCTTCTTCTTCGTTTGGTCGTGATATTGCCGGCCCATGCTAACTAAACACGATATTGCGGGCTCTACCACATTGTTAAGGTCTTTTTTTATCATAAGGTGGCAAACGAGTAAGCGGCCACCTGAATCCGCCAAACTGGCGACCGCTGCAATAGATATTCGAAATAGCGGATGCGTTGTCTACCCATTATAGACGGAGGAGGAGACGCACATAAGGATGTCTCCCCTTCCTATGCGTCTCTTGCACCGTCATTTCAACGGTTTGTGAATATGAATGAATGTAGAAGTGAGTTAAAACAATTGGTAATTTATTGGACTATGTTACATGGATTATGTTCTTTACCACGTAAGATATTTACTTAAAACATATCGTTATCCTTACAATGTATGGGTGGTGTAAACGTCGATAGAAACAAATGCATTCAGGGTGCCGGCGGCGGCGTCGACTGCAATTTGTCCGGCACCGCACGCGGCCGCAGCTGCCCGCGACATTTGTTACGAGCTAGACTACTCTGAGTATGCTAAGCAAGTTTATTTATTGATATGTAAGTATTTCTTAAGAGTAAGCCTGAAGCTTTGGACGACGTAAAATATTTCTGAAATATTTTTTAAGGCTTTTTTTTTAAATTTTGATTTCGTATAATTATTTTGAATTAAATCATCGAAATATTTTATATCGCTTTCGCTTCAATCTCTTGCTAAAATTTAAGTTTTGTAAATTGATATTGCGACATTTTTTTAAATTGAATATCTTCTCGCGTATAACTTGGATGTCCTCTTATAACTTTGTCCCCAATTCATGCGCATTACTCTTGTTAAAATATAGCTTTCAACCTTCCACATTAGATTACGCCCCATGTTCATTACGTGCTGTGACGCCGCAATTAATCTGTCACCTGTCACTGACAAGCGTTACTTTCAAACTCTCGTCTACGCAATCGCTCTTGTGACAACAAGGAGAACTGAAACATCGTTCTTAATTGGGCGGGAATACACATGCTAATGGAATAGTAGCTTGCATGTTCACGAGATGAATAAGTCAAGCTACGTACAACCTCGTCTCTCAACTTACATGCCACAAAATCTCGTATCCTACTGGCTACTTCCATGCTTACTACCAGCATGCCAGTTAGCGATTACACATGCCTGTAACTGGCACGTCCTACTAACAAGCAATGTCCCTGCTACTAGCGTTGGTGTCCGAAACTTATACGGGAAACAGAAATGTTGATAATGTTATTTAGAAGCATCGAGAAGAATATTGAAATTATTTGATTACCTTAAGACTCATGAGTTTTTAGGTACATTTTAATAGAAGTAACACCGTAACTATGTTTTAAAAAGTCGGTTTATTCCTATTAAGTACCTTTCATGTGAAAATCTGCGAGTTAAACTTGTAATATATTTATTTACCTAGATATAAGATACTTTAGGGTTCCAGATAAAGGTAGCCTAAGTATCTTAATCAAGCCTTACGTAAATGTAATGGAAACCGTTTATCTCATGAAATCTAACCACTGAAGTGTGCTTAAGCCTTTTGTATTCACTAATAGAATAATGTTAATATACCAATATATTGCTTTATACTATGTTAAGATACTGTTGTTTGGAAATTAGTAACTTGTTGCTAAAATTGTTCATTATTTTTTATCGTCTATTGCTCATTCATTGTCCAATCACATTAAAAAATTAAAAGTAAAATCCAAATAGTTTTTTTTTTTATTACTTCAATTGTTTTTCTTTTTTCATCAATTTAACAAATATGAATACCACAAAGACACTTTTATTTAAACAACCGATTGTTCAACGATAATACAAAAATATGTTTACTTACATAACATTAGAAAGCTAGCGTGGTGTGGACATGTTATGCGAGGAAACGATGGGGACATAAACCAGAAAGTGTTAAGATTGCATGTGGATGGCTACAAAGGAAGAGAAAGACCAAGGAAAGTATGGATGGATTGTGTGAAAGAGGATATGCTTAAGAAAGGAGTGGATTCAGATATGACGGTTGATAGAGATGTATGAAAGAGCAGCACATACTGTGCCGACCCTCCGTAAGGGATAAAGGCAAGTGGATGATGATGACATAACATTAGAAAGCTATAAAATTATTAATGTTTCTCTCCTATATTATGCATGTATTTTACAAAAATCTTCTCTTGAATCACTCTATTAAAACTGCATCAAAATCCATTGCGTAGTTTTAACGTTATAAGCATTCATAGCGACAGACAGCTAGAAGCGATTTTGATGTTTTTAGTAATGTTTCTGTTACTTTTTAATAGAAAGACAGAGATGGCGATACTTTATGCATGTGTATGAACAGTGGAAACAGATTGCTCGTGTAGATGTTTTTTTTTTTGTACCCAGAAACGTACAAACGTATTCGTCGATGCGATAAATTGGGCAATTTGCGGTCCTCACTCCACTAGGCATTGTTTCGCTAGTCTCTGGTTACTTTAATTAATTATCCAAACGTACCACAGAGTACTGCTTAATACAACATTAACATGTTAACTGTATTCCGTTGCCTGTTCATTTCGTTCAATGTCCTGTGTTCACTTAGCGAATTAGGGTTCGTATTTTACTTACATTTAGTTACAGAACTCTCAAATGTTCTGTCTATTTAGCGATTGATTATTCTTTACATTGGCACCAAATAACTAAGGATGTTCGAATGATGCTTCAAATCAGTTAAAGACACCTAATAAGTCGTTATACACATTGTATAGCTCCATAAATACGTATACCTTTACAAAGCTTCAAAAACTCGTGTATGCTTAAGTTTAAAAAATATTCAAGCACGTATCCGTTAAATACTTTTAAATGTGAACATGATTAACGAATCCACGGACAGGTACTTTTAAAACCTAAGTACAAAAGTTTTCTAAAACATACGACATATTTTACGACGATCAATAACATTGTGAGATTTTTTTTAGTATTTTTTTAGTTTTCTCAGTTCTAGTAATCTATAAAAGTTCTAAATATCTAAGACGCATAGAAGGAGAAATATCCTCTTTATGTGCGTTTCCTTCTAAATAAATTTAAATAATCACAAGTAGGGTTGGCGACAGGTAGAGAAAGTAGGTTTGTCATGGACAAAAACCTGTTGCGCCGACCCTACGGGAGCGGGAAAGGAAGGAAGATGATGTGCTTTTCCTCCTATGTCCAAAAAGGAGGGTACGCAACGCAACTGCAATTGCGGATGTCTATGTGCAGCGGTCGCTTCCTCATTTTGGCGGATTCAAGTGGCCGCTTGCTCGTATGCCACCTTATATTATAAAAAAGTAAGCAAATAGTTTGCGTAAAAGTCAGAAGAAGTGTAACACGAGCAAAGTAGGTTGGAGACAAAGATATTCAGAACATATATAGACTAGACATAGGGAAAATTTTTCACCGGTAATTTCTTGGAAAGGTACTTTGTTAGTTGTCAATTTTCGTGTCTTATGTCATTGTATTGACATGTTATAAAACATTTTACAAAAATTATAATAAGGTACAACTTTTGTTATAAAATAAACGAAACAGTGTTACAAAATAAAACGTTTTTGTAATACTATGTTCAATGAATCATATTGACATGTGGATTTGAGGACCTAACGATAGATAGCGTTGGTGAGGATCAAGTGAAAAATGTGTCAAGTAAAGTGTCACCTCTACTTATTTTTGAATCTCTGGTCGGAGATTTAAAATGCGAAAGCAATTAACACAGTCGGCAGATATGAATCGAGACTTGAATGAGTGCACGTAAAGGACTTGGATGCTTCCCAAAGAAAAATAATCTTAACTCTGCATTAAGCACCTCTTTTGCACTCTTATTTACTGCTACCCAGATTCACGTATTAACTTAAATATTCCCTAAATGTAGTTTTCTTATACTAACAATCAGATGACTAATTATGATTGAAGTATCTTTAAATTAGGTAATAAAAATATCAGAAAGTAAACAAAAAATATAGAAATGTCATCTTTTATAAAGCCTAGTCTAGATCAGTTTTAAATGTGTGTAGCGAGCTTAACACTTCAATGTTTCATTAAACTATTCTATTTAAAATTGCTGAAGTCGGCGAGACGTTATCAATGCAGCAGAACTTTTCGAAAATTCAATAACAAACTTAAGAAATTCAGTCAACTTGTATTTGAGTTTTGCTACCGTTATTTGTTACAAAGTTTTATCACGCGGAAAACCATAAAAGGTGACTCGAAAGTGGCGCTTCCTGATAAAGATATAAAAAAATTGCAATTTAATTTTTTTATTACGAGCTGTCTCCCGCAAACTTCGTTAGCGCATTTGGACCACCCGTTACGCCATATTGACAGCGCGGAATTAAAAAAGTAGCCTATAAAATGCCTATCCATGTCAGCTATCCTCAAGTAAAAGTCCAGTCGAAATTGGCCTAGCCGTTTTGGAGATTACCTGGAACAAACACAGACAGACTTTTTTTTTAAATGCAATTTTCGTTAAGCAAAGCAAATACATCATATTCCCGAAATCTGGAATTTTTCCTTTGATATTACAAACAGACACTTCAATTTTATTATATGTATAGGTTATCAGAACATAGAACTATAAAACACACAAAACGAATTGAACGGATGATAATGAGAGAGTCATATAAGCTTGATAAAACTGCAAATTTAGTTTTACATAAGCAGCGGGCCAAGTAAATTAGTAGTACTAATTTGTGCCGAAGGTCATTTTTTTACTTGCAACTTATTCACCTAAACAGTCACTGAATTTGAATTCAAAACCAAATGCCA